GGCAAACAAAGTCTACACTCAACCTAATCAATGATAAATGCGGTTAGTGTAAGAATTATCATTTGTTATCATTAAGTTTACTTGTAAAAACCTAGATAGTACAGGACGTTCTAAAGTCATTCAGAGCAGCGATCATATAATTTTGTCTCAAAACAGAAACGTGAAAAGTGGAAAGTTCCACGTGAACTTGACGATCTTAGCGACCATATAACTTGTGTAAACAAAAATGTCAGTTTTTTTATGTAAAATTTCACTTTTCACAAGTTTACGCTACGGAAAAGATACATAATTGGTACCCTGAATGTGTCCAAGATGTCCTGGAGGATTTTGTAGACGTTTTGGACACGTTCGGGATGATTCTAGAATATCGTATACTATTTGAACAATTATCATTTATTATTATTTATATTTAAAATAGTAAGAAATATATATATACATATATTATTTAATAACATACCAATGTCTCTCGTTCGGTGATAATGGTTTTTCAAGCTGGTTAAAATTGTCTGAAATCCATCTTAATATATCATCCAATTTGATATATGAATTAGGTTTGTGACAAGTAGACGCAGCATTATAATCAAGATCATAATATATATTGTTAGGATCTGAAGGGGGAATATAATATTTTAATTGCGATAAATCAGCGTGATATTGCAAATCACCGTCAATACTAAAAGATCCAATTAATTCGATTGTTAATTCTGGGAGCTTTTTTTTGGAAAAATATTCAATTTTAAACATTGTAGATTACTTATTAATATTGCGACACTGAAGATTTTCACTACGATCCGATCACTGTCACTATGTGATACTGATACTGAATAACGTTTAACGATTATATCTTATCTGCATTATGCCCCATGCAATTATGACTCATTGGAAGAATAAAGCGAAATCTATACGGAATGGAAGTCTTATCTAGATTTACCGTTTAAGTAAACTATCGTTATAAATTATCGTTTAGAATTACACCTGCCATTATTTATTATTCACGTCATCCCTTGAGGCTCGATATATAAAGTGTTACAGAATATTATTGTAGCAGAAAATTAAATGTTCTTTTTAACTGCACTGTTGAACTAGTACAATAAATTAAAGTGAAACACATATACTTCCTCTTACTCTAATTTATCGCACTAATTCAGCAGTACAGTTAAAAAGAACAAAACATGTGAAAATCCTTATTCTTTCATACTTTACGCAGTTTATTTTTTAATATACAAAACTGTAAAAGTCAATCAATTACAAAGTTTAATTTATTTTAAATAGCTATCAGCAAATCTCATAAGGTAGTTTCATCATACTAGTCTCATCATGTATCTCTTATGCGTTCATAGACGTTAGACAAATGATTGTTATTCGCATTGATCCACGAAAATATTAGTTGGCGAATTATCGCAAAATAAAAATGGTTGTTTATGTTGATGTATGT